TGTCCTGCGCCGCGGAGGGGCTGCCCGGCCGGAGCGGGGCAAACTCTTGAGCCTCTCCTGCGCGGGGCTCCCCTCGGGAGCCAGGCCGTCGGATCCCCTCGGTTTTCACGCCTAAAACCAGCGCAGGGAGGAGGGTGCGCGGGGGATCCAGGTGTTCAAATGAGCCTCCTCCTTCTCCCCTCGCTCCTTGTGTGCCTCCGAGGTGTAACGTCATGTTTGTGTTTTGCCCTCCTCAAAATACCGACGGAGTTTGCATGCATCCCTCGGATGTGTGGGTTTTCCGCCTCAAAACAATAGCAAAGAGGCACAGCTGTACTAGCAGTAAAACAGACCCCAGACTTGCACTTTTCTTTGCATGCACTTCACTGTATTCTGGTTAATGTTTGTTTTTTCTGATACACTTCAGTAGTCTTGGAGAGACTTAAGCAGGTGAGTAGATACAGTACTTTTGTTAACTGAATTAATACTAACCTCCGCCAAAGAAAGAAGTGGCCTGTCAGACTGCGGAGTTAAGGGAATGCTTTGAAAGTTACAAAAAAAATTACACAGCACACACAGACCCCAGTCATCAAGCATTGGGTTGAATCTTGAGGCCATAGATAGATTTCCTGATAATAACTTGGAGCTTATTTTCCTACAATACAAATATTACTGATTGCTTTCAGTTTAATTAACTTTTAAGTAGTGAGGGTGGTGGACTTTACAGATGCATAACTTGATTCAAGAAAATTTGAGAGCTGTGCCCTGGAAGAGAAGATCAAAATGGATTATACCTGGGCAAACTGTACCTTGACTGTATGATTACACTGCATACATCTAACCATCCCTTTAGAAAGCATTTAAAAAAAAATTAATGCAGTAGTTAAAAGCTTGTGTTTTCTAACTGCAGCTGTTAAAATGACACATTCACTAGCTAACAACATGGGTTTTCTGAAAAGTTGGGGTTTTTTTCAGTGCTATGTGACCTGCTTCCTTTCTGTTTGCATCCTATCACTCCTACCTTTCTTTCCAGTTATAAACCTAATATGTGGAAGTAAAGCTGGAAACCAGTTCTGTTTCAACTAGATTGTCCACTGGAGCGGGACATACCTGATACGTAACATCCAGAAGTGAAAGCTGTGGTCATGCTTTGTTTAAACTGTTTTTCCCTGGTGCTCAAACAGCATTGAAACAAATTCTCAAAGTTAATTATTAGCTCAGTGGCCTTTTTAGATGGTTAAATTTTGCTAGGTACTTGGGTTTATGGAGTGGCTTTGCTATTAGATGTGCTGCGTGTTCCAACTCAGATTTTAATAGAGCTTCTTAAATTACTCAAGACTACATTTTTTTTTATGTTCTGTTTCCATACTTTTTAATTATTGTCATTATTCTCTGTGCTTTATGTGTGGTGGATTGAGGTTTTTTTCTTATTTTAGGGTATGCTGTTCCTCCACCGACATCACAGCCAAACTATTCGAGCACATACACCATTATTCAACAGCCTGCCACCACCACTTCTGTAGTAGTAGTTGGTGGCTGTCCTGCCTGCAGGTAAAATCGCTCTCTCGTTGAGAAATAAACTCAGTCATGGGTTTTATTTTTTAAATTACAGGTATCCATATAGTTCCTTGGTTTTCAATAGTGTTTGTGTGTGTATTAGAATCGAATTAACTGAAAAAGCACTAAAGTGAGCAGTGGAGTGCTTTAATTTATGTAGTATGAGCTTGTCCTAATGGGCTTGTGACAACTGCTATGATTAATACAATAGACTTTATATATGTAAATATGTATCTTCTTTATGATGGAGGAAGGTCAGTAAGTGGTGTTTTTAATGAAAAGGCAGTTCAGTCACAGATGTAAAGGGTCAGAGCTTGTGGGAGAGGATGACAGGAAGTCTTTTCTGATGTGTTTATGCCCAGTGATAGTGAGTAGCATGATTTTATTGTGAAACTTTGTCTAATCTTTGACCGTAGTCACTTCTGGTTATCTGGCAGTCTTGTGGAAGGGCTTCCGCTGCTGTGGTGTGTGTCCCCATTCCCAGCATCCAGGCTGTGCAAAACCAGGCAGGGAGATTGTCAGTATTGGTTTAAAACATCGGTATCTTAAGGCTTTAAAAGATCTCTTACTTTAAAAGTCCTTTTACTGCAGAAGAACAGGGAGATTAAAAGATTTGATTCAGAGCGTTAATCTGATGAAAGTGGTGAAAACCAGAAAAAGTGGTCAGCTATTAGCTGGAATTGCAACAAAAGAACTCCCACCTCAGAAATTGACAGCCATAAAAAAAGGGAAGGAGGCACTCTGTTTCCACATTAGTGCTGCAAGTCAGCTGTAGTCCCTTTGCACTTCTCATTTCTTCTCATCCCAGGATATTAACTGATGGGTGAGGGCAGCCAGATTGCAGCTGTTGTGCCTGGCCAGCTCTGACTCAAGTGCAGAATCATTCCCCTTCTGTTAAAATGTATGGGAGTTACCCCTGTGGTGTCTTGCGAGGAGGCACTTAATATTCTAGAAGTCTGAGCCCTTGCTTACCCATTTCAAACGTGTAGGAATCAGACTTGCTGAAGTAGCTGAAATGATACCAGGTTTGAGCGTGATGAACGGGATGGAGGTTGTCACAGTGGCAGAGGCTGTACCCCAGATGCCTTTTGGTTTTGTTAGAATTGGTGTTTGTCTGAGAGGACCTGCTTTCAAAGGAGGATTCAAATAAGTATCTTGTGGTGCTATGTAAAAACAGGTGCCGGCTGAAGTGCCACTAGTTCAGGCTGAAAAACCTGTACCAGTTATAGCTATTGATCTAGAAGTTACATGTTTTAAACAGTGAGGGCAAAGTAACTACTGAGCAGTTCAGAGGATGTGGAAGATCCTGCCACCTGCTTATGCTTTAGCTCAGCCAGAAGACAGGAGGGTTGTTTGGTAAAAGGCAGGCAGTGAGTTTATACAGGCCTTCTGGCCCTAAACTCAATAAATCTCAAAACATTTTACTATGGAGCTGGTCTCTGCAATAATTTAAGAATAGTAGACTCTTGCTGCTGCTTATTAGGATTTTTTTTTTCTGGAAGTTTTCTTGGGATGTTCTAGGAGAGACCTTTGAAACAGTCATTTGCAAGTATACTTCAGCCAAATTCAGGAAAACGAGGTAGCTTTTTTTAAGGTGTTTTTAAGTGACCTCACTTGAATAGTTTTCTGAAGTCATCAGACTTGCTCTGCTGGAGGTACCCAGTGCTCTGTTATGTCGCAGACTTTTTCTTAAAGCAAAATACCCTCCACAAAACCATTACTCTTGGATCCTCAGGTTTTGTTTTAGGCTGTGAAAAAAAAAAAGTGAGGAGAACTATGACATGTTTATTATGAGGTATAATCCCACTCTGCTTAAACTGTAGGACTCCTCTCAGCACTTCTGAAATGCTTCTTATCAGGGAATCCCAAGAACAAGTGACTGTATCTAGTAATGGTGTGCCGTAGCAGTCTATCACTATGTTTTTTCCTAATTGTCTTTAGAGGAACAGTCAAAGTGTCGGGGTAGGAGGGAAAAATCTCGAGATTGCTCATGTTTTGACTAGTTAAGGAATTGATAGTCTAGTATTTCAAGAGAAAGGACAGGAAAGCTGGGTGGGAAGCATAATATTACAAATATTAATGGGAACTTGAAGGGTCAGGGTTCATGTTCTGGAAGGTTACACTGGCTGCTTCTCTTGAAGAAAGAGCTCATAATCCTCTTCAACTTGTCAAGACCTTAAACATAGTTCTAGTTGACTTCCTTGGCCTGGAAACCTGTTTTATAAAGAATGTGACATGCAGCTACGCTCTGAATACAACACTGAACAGAAACGTTGTTGAAAGGGCATTGATAAACATAAAAAGCTATTAATGGTATGTAAAAAACTTCGTTATTAAACTGCCAGGTCAGCCGTCCTGTTGCTCTTCTGATTTGATGCTGTGCATAATCATTAGAGAAGTCCATCTGCTTTAGGTCATGAGGAGGAAGCCTTTTTTGTGGCTGTAGAATAATGTAACTGATAGAGTAGGCTAAAGCCTACTGAGAGGATTTCTACCATCAGAAATACAAACCAGTTGTTTGCACTACTGCATTTATGAATGTTGCAAATTAAAATCAAAACCGTTTCCAACTTAAATGTATGCTGTTTAGGAGAAATACGCAGTATTGGTCTGTTGTTTGGGTAGGAGTTTATTTTATTGCAGCCATGAATGATCTCAGAATTAATAAAGCAGCTATAGTACAGTTGCTCTTTATGCTTGCTTTATGGTATGAAGTAATAAAAAGTACAAATTATCTCCAAAAGTAGCCTCTCTACAAGTAGGTAGTATGCCCGTGGTCACTGTGTGGCTGCATTCTTTTCTATCTCTGAAGAATTGCTGGATCTGAGGGATGATTCTCCTGTCTTGGAAGCTGTGCTTCTTGCCTAGAGTTATTCGTTAGTCAGATCATCGTAACTCATCACTGGTCAGTGTTGCTTTCTAATTACAGACTTCAGTATTAATGTGTATTCCATACTTCCATGCATTATTAGTCTTGGGTGGTTGTAGTCCTGCTGTCTTAGTGTGAGTTTTCCCACCCCCGATGTACAGAGAATTCCACTGAGTTGCAGAATCTTAGCGCTGTTGCTTGTAGTTGACATCTATGGATTGGCCAAGTCCTGCTTTTAAACTATTCTCTGTTTCCAAGTACAGATTGAGTCATTACAGCCACTGCAGAGGACTAGCCATGTAATTCTCTTTTTAGCTTGGAGAATGCAGTCTGGCTGCTTCTCTTGTGGTCACTTTCATTTTCTCTTTCTCCATCTTGTGTTGTTGGGTAGAACAAACTGCAAGGAATGTTTGCTTTCCTATTACTTAAGAGAAGAAAGAAGCCTTTAAAAATTGTGAAAACAGTCTCTTGATCTGATGCTTGCAAAAGCTGGTTCTTTCAAAATCTGGGACAGAGTGTGTGATGGGCCCTGTTGGCTTTTTATTTTCCTGTTTAACAAGTATTCAGTTGATTGCAAGAAGGGGTGAGGGAAAGGACATAATGCTGCTGCATTGTGGGGGCTTCCTTTTCTGACAGTTACAAAACATCTACTTGAGAAGTATTGTAGCGGGTCCCATCTTACAATAATGCTGGAAGATGAGACAATTTTGATTAAAACTGTATTTATTCTCAGATCTCTTAAAGCCTTTTCCCTGCCACAGTTTTTTGGTGGTTTTTTTTTGTTGTTGTTTCAGGTTTTTTTGGGTGATGGGTTTGGTTTTTGTTTGTTCTGGTCTTTTGACTTGACAAAGTATTAAGTTCTCAGGTTTTTGTTGAAATTTTGTTTCTTCAGTTATGTGCATGTCTCCTGAGAGAATTAAACTTAGGTGATTAAGTCCTTCAAAATTTCAGTCTTCTGGTTTTACTTTGGTTATTTCAGTCACAAATGCTGTGTGTGGTTTGATAGAAGGCCATTCAGGATATAGGGTTTTTTATAGTTATTCACAACAACTATCTTTAAACTTTATGTAAATATTCTCAATATAATTTCATAATGTGTACCAGTTAAATATGCAAGGAATTAAAAAAAACCCACCCAACCAAGTTATTTAGAGAGCATGTCTGATATTCTGAGGAAAACCTGCGGATTTTTGGTTTCTAAGAGCTGGCTGACATGCTAGAGATCCTTCTGCATCTTGTGAGTGAAGCCAACTTTGAGATACCTTTTCAAGAGTGCTATAAAGAGGAATAGCTATAATAGTACAGCATCTTCTGACACTTTTTTGTTACAAAGATGATCACCCTATGCTGGGAATCAGTGTCACCCCCTTATACTACAGTTTGGAGGTTTCTGTAACTGTCCGCTGTTCCGGCAGATTGGGGCGTTCATCCCTGCTGTGCTGAAATTCAGCGGCTGGAGCAGTTAGGGCATGAAATTCAGCAATGACTTAGGCACATGATTGCAAAGAAGAAGGCCTTGATCCAGCAGACTTGAGCAGATGCCATGAGTCTGCCATTTGGAATTACTGACTAGGATAGCTGTAACTTTTTTCCCCCCAGCCTAACAGCAGAGGCAGGCAGCTGCTTAGCAGGAAGGCTGTTACCTAAGCCCAGAGGAAGGGAGGTGGTAAGCCTGTTAACAGGGTCCCAAGTGAGATCAGCATAGCTCTTGCTGTTTCTGAGGATTTGTGTTCTACTGCTCTGAACTGATTCGTGGATAATAATCAAAACACATTTTTCTAATAAATGAGACTTTATGCGATTAATAAGATACAGCAGGAATGTATTCCCTAATGAGACTGTATAAAAATGATAATCTGGTCCCTAACGTGCAGTCTGTCGCTGGGCCTGAGGTGATAGCATTTTTTTATTAGTGTCACCATTTATCTTGGTGTCTGTATTCTGATAATTAGGATTTCTTTGTAGTAATGAGTTGTTCTGAGTGAGAGGAGGAAACAGGCCTTGTTTGTTGGTAACCAGAGGTGATACTGATTTGGCTGTGTATGCAGATGAGTGAGAAAAAACACACTGGATCTCAGTCTAGTTGTCATGGATAGATGTCCACCATCTACAGAAAATTTCAACT